TCTTGGGGGTATCCCCTTTGGGTTCCACCTGCATGTACAGGGGAGAAATTCATCCAGCCACTTGTGCTCCCAGGTTCCGGCTGCTGCTGTCACAGCAACTTCAGGACCATTGAGCTCGTGGATCTTTCTTGCGTGTGCGTTCAACCCCGCTCGACCCCTTCCCCACTTCTGAACATCCCGGCCCTTGCTGGCAGAGCCAAGCAGCTGCAGCCAGTGTTGAGACTTGGAGACTTGGAGGATGGCATCAAGAGGAAGGAATCTTGTCACGTGTGTGTGTGTAGCATATAGTGTTGATTAGAACAGGTCATATGTTGAGGTGTTTAGATCTTTGGAGTCTTTGCCATGGTTGTGGACAAATTGGTGTTGGGGCCAGCTTCCGGGATGTACTCATCAACATCGCAGCCGAAAGGCTTCCCCAAGCAAGACTCGCGGCAGGACCTGCAGAACAACTAAACCGGCAGAAGTCTCCTTTTTTGCCCGGACTCCTTCCTGCAGATCAGGAACCAACATAGTCACATGTATATCACCCTTGGTGAATTTCAGTGACCGCAGTGCAAAACAGGTGTTTTGCCAATTTCAGAGATCCGGGCAACGTGAATCGGCTGCTCAAAACAAGTAGTTTGCAGATTTAATCTACAAATCCTGGCTAATTCGCCGTGTATGTCAGCAGAACCATCTCAGCTACATCTAAACGAAGTCATGGATATGTTCCAGTAGCCTTTCATTCAAGGCACTGCGCCTTAGTCTGGACACTTCGGGGAACAAAGGCATCTAGATCAATGCACGTGTTCCTGTCGGCACGCACGGGACAGCTTTTCTGCCCGTGACATTTTTCTTTGCACAACTCATTGTGGTTGTGGCTCACATGCCAAGAAGAAACTGTTGGTTTCCAAGTCTGTTTGCTTTTCCCTAAAGGTTGCTTTCCATCCAAGTTCTACCCTTCGTGCCGGTTGCAAGTGAAGCAGCGGCCTTTGGCTTCACATAAGATTTTGCCCAAGCTCAATTGAGGCTAAACCCACACTATCCCTATTCAACGGCATTCGGCTCCTTTCGAGCCCGCCGAAACCACCCCCGCGAGGCCTCCCCCTTCAGCGCGTTCTTCTGGGAATGCGCCCCGGTGTCTCGGGGAACAGCTGCGCAGAGGCAACGAACGGGAAAATCGGCCAAATCCTTCATGTTCCTTTGACAAACCTAGAAATGAGTCATCACGGTTGCCCTTCTTTTGTAGTCATTGACATCGACTTTTGAGGGGCTCGCCAAATTTGAGACCAAACCCATCTGGCATTCAAACTGCTCAAGACCTGTGCATGCGAGGCTTTTCTGGCCTTTTCCCAGGTCTATGACTGAACCACCTCTACATGGGAGTGGTCTGTGTTTTTGTTGCTTTTTTCAGGCTGTTCTTTTTGGGGAAGCCGAAACCGCCATGTATGAAAGTGTCCTTATTTCTGCGGACCAGAGGTGCATGTGGAGGGACAATGGTGTCCATCTTTATTTGTGCGGCTTCGTCAAAGCTCACTTGCACTTGTGGCTGACCATGACCGAGGCAAGGGGTTTTGACCCAGGCCCAAATGTGTCATGGCCAAAAACATGCTTGCAGTTGAGAGGTTAGTACAGATGGGGCTAAGTTCTGTATACTCTTGGACAACTATTTCACGAGGCTGCTAATTATGGGAGCATCGCCAGGAGCGGACCTCGTGCAAATGTTTGTGCCACGGACACGTGTTTTGTTCCTTGCACAACGGTGAGGCTTTTAATTGTGATAGACCGTCCGAATAAGAAGTCTTTTTACCTCAAGGGCACCATGACACAAATGCGGCTGTCTTTTTTCGGGGGCAAGCGAGAAATTGTTGAGTTGAGGACCCGTGCAAGGCGGGGCGGCATCTAGCCACTGCCTGGAGTATGCAGGGTGGGGCACTTATGATGAGTCTAGGCGGGTCCTGCTAGCGCCAAAAACGATCGGGTCCCAAGCGCCGAAGCCAGGGAAACCGTTGCAAAGTCACGGGGACTTAGACGCCAGGGGACCACCTGAAATCCCAGCTTTGGATTTCGGCATGATGTGCGACGTGCGTGCTGGGTTCAAGTAGGCTGAGGCTCAGGTTACCTGAGTCCGAAGCATTTAGGAAACAGCAGCTTGTAGCTGTGACCGACAAAGATTTGAGAAGTACAATCATTAGGACCATGTGTTTGCCAGTGTCAGTTTTGGATTTTACCCAAAAAAGCAACTCGATTACCTACTAGGTGTTGTTGTGCGTTGTGGCTAAGGAAACTCGGTGTTGTCTTCTGTTTTTTGCCGGACGCCTAGGTTTTTCCGGTTTCACCTACCGCGGCATGTGCCATGGGCGCGCCGTTTGCCGTGCGCCTGGCGCTGGTGCTTTCGCTGGCGTCGGCGCAGTGTCCGCCGCAGCCGCCGCCCTGCGTGGCGACGGTGGGGACTTGCGGCGAGCGAGCGCGACCATACAGTGCGCCTCGGGAGAAAGGCGCGGGATCCGTTGGTTTTTGCGGAATGGATGGGTGACTTTTTGTGGCGAGAGGTTCGCACGTTCTTTGTGTTGGTGAAATGGATGTGTATTTTTTGTGGCGAGAGGTTTTCGGGGGTTAAAGGGAAACCAAAGGGGTCTCTATTTTGACACAACCCATATACAGTGGCCCATGATTGTCGATGTTTCCAACAGGAGACAAACACATGCTGCTGTATTCTCCAGACTCCGTATTTAACTCCCAAACTTCCCCCATTGTGTTTTTTTTGCAATTGAGCATGGAAACAAACTCACAACACCCTCTTTAGACACCTCAAAAAGGGAAGCTGTCTTTGGGCTCTCGCCAGCTAACTTGAAGCGGAGGACGTGCCCCCCCAATCTGAAGCAAAGGGCTAGTGCGGATTGGATCAAACTCGGAGGCGCCCCAAAACGGAGACTGTGGGTTTGTCTGAAAGTTCCAAAAAGGTTCACCTCTGACAAGACACGCCGATGTCAACCCCTGTTACGTGGCCATGGACACGTGATGGTTTTAAGGAATCTCGCTTGTGAGAGGCCCCAGATGAATCAGAAGTCGGCATTTCTTCTTTTTGGACTCGATGCCCCATATAAAACTGGAAATCCGTTGAGATTTCGAAAGGGAGATGTCCATTCCATCTTCGGCTACACACATCGAGGAGATCCCAACTCGGGCACACAAATACACCCAAACAAAAATCTGAGGACACTGACGTTGTAAGTGCGACGGTGACGGTGGCCGTGGTCAAGAGCGCAATTCTGCTTCAAGTTGCTTTCGATGGCCATGGCCTTTTGCATGACTTTGGTTCAGCAAATGAACCTGACTGGTGTCCGTTTGCCTGTGCATGTGCCAGTTTGTCCAGACAATAAGCCTATTTATGAATCGATGGTTTATCAAGGGGTTGGAATTCACAAACCAATCCAAACCAAAGGGGTTGATATAGCCATGTATTTCAGCTTAGTTTGGTTCATAATGGATGGGTTCCACAGGTTTAGATTGGTTTTATGATAATTTTCCAGGAAACCCCCATGAATTCTCACCAGAAGGCTTATGAACACAGCCATTCCGAGCCATTGTCCAGGGAAACCCCATCTATGTCAGACTGAAATACGGTCCGAGGACTGGTCCAGCATCCTGAGATTAACCGCCTGCGGCCTGCCGCTGCAGCTCCGTGCCGGAATCGCGGTGTCGCTGTCGGGCAGCCGCGCCTCGGAGAGCGCCTCCCAGGACGTCGGATCCCAACGGATCTGGAGATATCTGGAGGTTGGGTGTGGAAGGGTTGGGGTACCCAATCGTTTGGCATTGCTTTCAAGGACAGCCTAAAGGAAAACCCTTTTCAGCGGGAGGTTGGGTCTATTTGCTTCCATACGGGGGTGCCTCGTTTTTGGGGCACCCTTTTTGGGGTTGGCAAGGAAAGCCTCAAGGACACCAGCCTTAAAGGGGTTACTTCAAAACACAGCATTCATTCAGGAGGGCACACAGCTTTTGCACACAAACGCCAGGGGGTCAACCACATTGCCATAGGGAAGCCGCCAACTCTGCACGGGGTCGGGGAAAAACACATGCAAGACATATGGGGCCTGGACATGTTGAACATTTAAGCTATCCACCCCATTTCAGTTTCTGCTCAAAATCTAGACCCTTGATTCATCAAGTCCCCCAGTCAATCAACAAGGATTCACTGCTGGATATTATGGAGCCCGTACCCTCCTTTAGCCCCCCCCCCCTTTAAGCTTAAAGGGCTTCTCTTGCAGGGGAGGCTTAGGAAGCCTTGCGGAAGCCTTGGGGAAGCCTTGGACACTCGCCCTGCGCATGGCGGGAACACTAGGGAGCCTCTTGGGGAACCGTGAAAAGCTGATTGGACAAGAAATACCGCCCAAACCTGCAAATTAGGTTGGGAAGGGACCCTTAAAGAAGCCTTAGGGAAGCCTCACGGAAGCCTTAGGCAAGCCTTAACAAAGTCTAGGGAAGCCTTAGGGAACGGGAAGCCTTAGGGAAGCCTTAGGGAAGCCTTAGGGAATCGTTCGGGAAGCTTTAGGGAAGCGTTAGGGAAGCTGCAAACCTTAGAGAAGCCCTAGCGAAGCCCTAGGGAAGCCATAGGGAAGCCTTAGAAAACTTGGGGAAGCATGTTTGCGGAAAGCTTGGGGGGACGCAGCACTTTCAGAAAGAGCAATTGGAATCTCTTATGATTTCCCTAGGTTGGGGGACGCAGCAAAGTAACGCAGCTCGAATCTCCGATGAAAAGGATTTCATGACTCCCCCCTTCCAAGCATGTGGAAATATCAAGGCTGCATGCCCATCTCTACCTCTCTCTATATTACACTCGTATACAATATGTATATATATATATATGTATGTGTATTCTTATATACATACATACATACATACATACATACATACATACATACATACATACATACATACATACATACATACATACATACATACATACATACATACATACATACATACATACATACATACATTCATACATTCATACATTCATACATTCATACATTCATACATTCATACATTCATACATACATACATACATACATACATACATACATACATACATACATACACACATGCATGCATGCATGCATGCATGCATGCATGCATACATACATGCATACATACCTACATACCTACATACCTACATACCTACATACCTACGTACATACATACGTCCGTACGTACGTACCTACCTACATACATACATACATGCATACATGCATACATACATGCATACATACATGCATGCATACGTGAACACATACATGTATATATACATATGTATACATATACATACATGCATACGTACATGCGTACATTCGTACGTACATACGTACATACCTACCTACCTACATACATACATACATGCAGACAGACAGACAGACAGACAGACAGACAGACAGACAGACATACGCAAATACACACACACACACCTACATACATACATACATACATACATACATACATATATATATATACATACATGAATACGTACGTTCGTACATTCGTACACACGTACATACGTACATACGTACATACGTACATACCTACTTGCATACATACATGCAGACAGACAGAGACAGACAGACAGACAGACAGACAGACAGACAGACAGACAGACAGACAGACAGACAGACAGACAGACAGACAGACAGACAGACAGACAGACAGACAGATACGCACATACACACACCTACATACATGGGGGTCTCGTGCAACGATAGTCCTGTCCAGAGCAGCTGGGGTGAGTTCATGAACCGTACTTGGTGCGTAGATTTTCATGCACGATTGTTGAGACTCAGTGCGCATGTCTGGGTTGGGCTCAGAGCTACCCCCCACAAAGTTGGAGAAATGGATGCGACAAATATCTCAAATGAATATACGTATATCCATATACGATCCGTTTCGGAATATTGTGAGTTGTGCATTTAAGCTTGGACTTGTGCATGACTCAAGTGTTGACACCTTTGCATGATGCAAAGCAGCAGCAAGACAGCGGTAATGGATACATACATACATAGATACATACATAGGTACATACATACATACACAGACGCATACATACATACATACATGTGTATTCATGCACGCATGCATACACACATGCACACACATACATACATACCTACTTACCTACCTACATACCTACTTGCCTACCTACATACATACCGACCTACCTACATACATTGCATACACACATGCACACATACACATCCACATACATTCACATATAATTACATGCATACACACATACACGAACTTACATGAATATATGAAATCGTGAACCTACATGAATACTGGAATACATGGATACATACATACATACGTGCGTACGAACGTACATACATACATATGTGACACGGCATACGTGACACGGCACACCATAGCATATTCTACCATACATGCGTAACATGGCATGACACGACATACCATACACTACAGGTCATTACATAGCATTTCATTGCACTACATGACACACATTACATTACATACTTCACATTCACTACACATGCTACACACATTGTATACGTTTCGTTCAGCACACGCACAATACATACATTACATACATGCATTACGTAGATTACGTACATTGCGTACAGTACGTACATTATGTACATTGCGTACATTACGTACATTACACGCGTTACATTCATTACATACATAGCATACATTACATACACTACGTACTTGCGTGCATCCATACACACAGACATACATGCGTACATATGTGTATACATAAATATATATATATATATATATATATATATATATATGGATGTGCATGCCTCTTTCATGCCGAGCGTACCATGATGAAGGGCCTGTACTTGGGGGTCCCTTGTGTCAGGTTCGACATTCTCGTAGGTTCCGCATACAAACAAATAGATCAACGGATAGATCAACAAATTCCCGGAATCAATAGATAGATGAACAACAATATATCCATGTATATATATATACATATTGATCGGGAGTACCTACTCGAGCATAGAGTGTTCGGGGCCCTTAGCTTCCCTTAGCTCACCGGAGGAGATCGTGCAGACCCTCAGCGAGCTGGCCGCCGTGCAAGGCCGGGGCTTGTTTCTGTTTTTACCCCCCACCAACTGAAAGACGTGGGTTCTTTGCCCGGATAAGTGCTAGAGTGGTCCGGAGCTAGTTTTCTGCTAGGGGTTCCGGAAAAGGTCGGGGGTTGGTTTGGGGGATACCACCAGGGCTTATCAGGGCTGATTTTTACCCTTCTAGGCCGGTGTCGTGTTGAAGAGCAGGGAAGTCCTTCACTTAGGGGGGAACACGGCGCCCTCAGTGTCGCTGAATGATTGGTCCGGAGTCAAGCAAATTTGCTGTGCCATCGGCCAGAAGGGACCAAAAGAGGCTTGATTTCAAAATGAGGCTTCTCGTTTGGCGGCATGTAACAATTCGCGGAGGGAACCCTAGATGCGGACAAAAAAATTAGGGCCTTAGGAGTTTGAACGGGTATTTGTGGATTGACTCTCTGAGTTCTAAATAATGACCCACTGTTACTTTCCAACGGAAACCAAGGCAGGACATGTCGAAAGTCGTTTCGAGGATGGCCCTCTGTTGCAATCCCTTGAAAATAAACAAACCTGTCATGGTTCGGTGGTGTGAACAACTTTACAGCACCACCGCACCACACGTATCTTCCGGATATAATGATCCAACATGTGGTTGGTCTACGAGGAGGTTGCTTGGCTCTCATGTGACTGTTCCGGAGGTTATTACCAAATCCCTATGCGCACGATGGAAAGTCCAATGCATGCTGATAGGTTTGTTGGGAAATCCTATGGCGTATGTTCGGCAACACATGACTTGCACGGCGGATCTATTTAATCAATATTTCGGCAGCCGATCTCGCCGGTTCCGTTTACCCTGAAAGGCTACAAGTACCGCGAGTTTTTAGTTGTTTCTCCCTGCACCTGTTAGTGACAGGCGTTGATGATAGGCTTCAGCCCTCCTGCTTTCTGTACCTGTTGGACATTCCTGTGTGGTGTTCACTTCCTGCTTGAAAAGGCTCGTGTGCCTTCCTGGGCTTGTCAGTGACGCCTACGTGCTGGTGCTTCTGTTCTGCTCGGACTGCTTGGGCCAACCCTATTGTTTGATCCTTTTTAGCCTCCCTTTGCTTTTCTCATCTGCATTGGATCAGTTTCCACTGCTACTTGCGAAGGCCCGCTGTTTTCTTGAGGTTTTCTTGCGATCAAAACTTGCTTCTTGCGCATGGGGAATGTGGCGAATACATGGTCATTGACACAGACTCCACCAGAAGATCCCTTTGCGAGGCAAATGATTTGCCAGAGATCTGTGGTCAAGTTGCAAGTGTATGGCAGGCTATTCAAGGGATCACTCACTACACCTCACTACACCTCACTACACCTCACCTCACACAAACACACGCACACAAACACCAATCACCACCTGTTGGGGACAGTCCCAGCCAGCACTGGGTGCACCCAAATAGTTGATTGTTCCACGACTATTGTCATGCACGCTGGCGTGTGCACTGGGTGCACTTGTCCAAGCGATATATGTCCCAATTTTTTGAGTTGGTATACATACAGACTATCGGCAAAAAATGGGTTCGGTTTCCTGGTAAATTGGGGGGGGGGAAGCATGTCCTAGGTTACGCCCTCCAAGCCACATGACCAATTCGCGGGGTAAACAAAAGGGAAAAAGGAACACCAACTTTGCTACCCTGCTGAACATGTCCTTGGCTCCGAGAATGACAAGTCCTGACCAAAACTTACTCTGAACAATTCAATGGCTGTGGCTCAGGGGAGCCTCCCTTGGGCTGGGTCCTTCTGATTTGTTTGGCGGGTGAGAAAAAGGCGGAACTTTCAACCTTTTTTGGGCTTGTGTGTTGTTTTCCTTTTTTTTTGAGGGGGGGGGGCAGGGGGTGAGAAAAAAGGCGGAACAAACTTTCAATCTAGGAAAAGACACATGGGCACGTCAGGCAGAGGCAGCATTCAGATCAGCGAAAGGGACGCGCTTTCTTACTGCATATCCTTCTGCATCCTGGACGATGAGAGCTCCCCGCGGAAAGCTGCAGCTCTGCAGGAAAGCTTATTAATTACTGTACTTTTTGTTTGGCTTCAATGTAATCCAAACATTTTAACCGATCAGGGCACTGGTAGGTTATATTGGTGGTCCAAAACATTGAGACTTTTACTTCGGAATTTGGAGGGGACAGTGCCCCGATTTGAGTCGTGGTTCTGCGTGTTTGGTTCCACATGTTCTGTGATCGAAGAGAAACGGCCTGACAACCAGAGTGTAGCAAAGATACCAAGAGATAGGAGTGCCATGGAGTGCCATGGAGTGCCCTTTTCCTGCACGCCGAGCATCAGTCCATCAGCCTTGGCACTATCGGCCAAAAGAAAGGGGCGTACGCCCGTACGCCCCGTTTGGGCCCTTAGCGACCAGGGAAATCAAAGCCCAAAGGCCACCCAATGAATGCAACACCATGGGGGGGTCGTGAAGCTTAGGGAATAGTCCCACCATACTTTTGACCCCATATCAATCAACCAACCAGTTTATGAATTGGGGGTTGTCCATTACAGAGAAGCATTCCCCTACAAGCTGGTGTTGATTAATATGGGTTCAACATTAGGGATATCTGCGGGGCGGTTGGGGAGGATATGTGGGGCATGCAAATGTTGATTTGGGCATGGCTCAACATAGGGGAGCCCCAAACATCCAAGTAGTTTCCTTCTGGGTTCCCTGAAAACCCTCCTCAAAAAGAGCCCTCAGCAGAAGCTCAAAATCCTGGGAGGGAGTGTGCCAGAAATGTCCCATGTCAATTTTACAAGCAGTGCCATTTCGGGTGCATTTAAACCTCACCTGTTGGCCCCATGCATGTTCACGAGTTTCCTTCAAGTGGGATGCTGTTTTGCCTCTTTTTTTTGTTGGCGCCCGAAAAGCGGTATCAGGATCTTCGCCCGTTTTTGGGTACAGAGTGTGTCTTTTGGGGAACCCCCCAAAATGGCGCAACGGTCTTCCTTTTGGTTTCTCTTTTTTTGTCCATCCCAAAAAAGGGGCACCCTCCCACTACTTAACATGCAGCCTGACGTTCGGGACCCGGTCCCTTCAAAAGGAACATGATCTAAGCCAGGAAAACCGAGCGTCGAACGGTTCCAGGTGTTAGTTGGTGGGAGGGTACGTGAACTCCAAAAAGGAAGAACACGAGATGTGTTCCTTTTGGTCTCTTTGGACTCCGAAGACCTTTGTCCAGCCAAAACAGGTGGAGATCTATCGGAGCTTTGTGGGGGACTACAACAGCTCCATGGATCTGCTGCTTGGGCCCAGCACCTTCGAGTTCCGCGGAGCCGCGGCGCAGGTGGCAGAGGTGCCGGAGGGTTCGTGTCTCCTGGCCCACAAAAAAGACACGTCTCGGTCCCTGGCCATCCGGTCCCTTAGCTTTTCAGATCTTAGCTGGTTTAGTGGTGGTCTCTGAATTTGACCCACTTAAAATTGTCTTGCTTTTAGCGGACCCGAGAGCAAGCAAGACATGAGAGACATTCTCCTCCAAATTGTGGCCTTGACCCTTATGCTTGGTTTCTGAAAGTCTCATTTGAAGTATCAAGCAACCAAAGGGTCAAGGCCAGTGCCTTGGTTCCATGTCCCAGTGCCTTTTCCAAAGGTCAGGGGCTCCGTTCAAATGGCCAGAGTTAGCGACCAAGTCGCTTGCTTGGGTCCAATGTTTTGATGTTTTACCTCGGGCCTCGGGTCGGGATGGACCCCTTGACGCAGCCTTGCCCCTCAAAACTTGGGGTCTGTTTCCAGGAAAGGCTTCCTTTAGGCATTTCGGAAAATACCAAAAGGGCTAGGTCCCAACCTGAAAACCATTTTGAGAAGCTACGTGATGTCCGTGTGTGCTTTTTAAGGGTACGCAACCCTTCATTTTTTGGGTCCCCCTATTTTGAGACACTTTGCGCGCTTTTTGAATTGGACTTGCCGTTCAACCGCCCAAAGAATGAAAAAAGGGTACCAAGTCAAACGGTACCGGTGCCCAGGCTAGACCTAAGGCACATGATGAATTGGAGTGACCAAAATTCATGGGTACCCTGTCCACCAAACATGGAACCTACCAGGGGGTCCGTTCAAAGGAGAATTGCGTTTCACCCCGAAACGTCGAACCGTTCCATGCTGGACGGGGTAAAGGGAAGCTATTTGCTTGGCACCATGTCACCTGCCGCGCTCGGATCGGACACCTAGGTTTCAAATACCAAATCAAATAGCTTCCCGACAAAAAACAAAAAACACAAGAAGGTGCCCTCACACACACGCACATAGAACCGGGCGTGCCAGGAAGGCTTAGCATTTCTGATAGCCCCACTTGTTCAGAGAAGACTGTGGCCTCTGGGCACAGGGGTCGATAGGGGTCGCTTCAAGTCGTATAGATTGGATCCCCCCGCAGGTAGGGCAAAAATGGCGTCCAGCCTCATTTCAGGAACAGACACACTTTAGGTCTTGTAGACTCCCGCTCCCCTCAGACCTCTGGTCTCCGCAGCAACAAAAACCATTTCGAGCCGCAGGAGGCCATTTGGCCGATGATCCTTTGGTCTTATCCGTCGGACATTGGCAAAAGCGCAATCTACAATCAGTAGCTCGGCCCGGGAGCCGGAAAGGGAGTCGGCATGTGTCAAAAAGCCCAAGCCCCAAACATCGCTTGGTGCTCCGTTTGTTTTTGTTGCCAATTGAAAAGGCCAATGTCGACCATGAACAAACCCTGGTGAATTCTTGATTCAAGGGGTGTCCCCCTTTTGGGGGTTCAGCCATTTTTGACATAGGACGGGAGGCCCCCAAAGGTTCGGCGAAGGTTCACGGATAGGTAGCCCAGTGGCTTCCCGCCCAAAAACCACACCAAAAAGGGTACCCTCACAAGAAGCCGCACCCGTTTGGAGATGCTTCCGTGTGAGTTGCAAAAATTTACAAAGGGATCCCTATGAGGGGGGGCTTCGTCACGCCCCCCCAGCAATTCCCGTGGTTTTAATTTGATCAACAGGGATTTTTTTGAATTTGCCTCAATAAAGGCACACTCAAAGTGGAAAACGGGGACGTTGTTTCTAAAGAAGGGCAAGGAATCTTTCAAGCCATGTTCCGAAGGGGTCGCCCTCTCCCACCTTTTCTGGTTGGGAGATAGGTTTACCTTTGGGGTATATCCGTACACCCAGTGAACTTAAATGGTTTGCGTCAAAGATGGATATGGAATCTTCATGTTTAGGTGTTTTTCTGTTTTGATTGTTCTTTTCAAACCAAAAAGGGTACTCCCCTTCAAAGAAAACACAGAAAACAAAGAAACACACACACACACACAACCGCACCAAAGACAGGCGGAGCCATGTTGTGAGAACTGCCCTGGGCCAATATTGGCGGTGTTTCCGTTTGGAAGGGTGAGAATTACAGGGGGCATTATCTTTACTATATGGTCGGATCTTTGGGACTTTAACTTTTTTGGGAAATTTGGACCCACGAAAAGTCACTTTTGGCAGAGGGGTCAACAGCAACGTAGTTATGGTTGAATACTTCCCTTTGGGGGAAAACAAAAAAAAAACGCCACCTACAGAGGGGCGTGATGAGGATGTTTTTCATATCGTTTGTTTTGGTGACTTTCTACAACTCACACGGAAGCATTTCTAAATGAGTGTGTCCTTTTGCGAGGGAACCAATTTTGCGCAGTTTTAAAAGGGGGGCCCTAAAGAGAGACACACTCAACTATGTTCCTGTATGGCCATCATGTTCCCTTGTACCTTGCTCGTCTTGGGGCCACAAGACAAATCATTGCTTGGAAGGGAATCATTCGAATTCTGGGGGAACCGAAATACAACCGCAGAATATGCATGGATGGCTTTCTGGGTTCCTTCCCTTCACCTGCAGTGATTGTAAACTTGGCAGACGTGCTGTTGTTTTGTTGTGCCTGTCTCAGTTGATAACCGCTGGGCAGCGTTTCGGTCGGGTTCCATATCCCATTTTGAGACAGACCCATTTGAGTGCCACAATTCAACCATAGCAACAAAAGACATAACCAGGAGTTCAAACCAGGTCTCCCTTGTTTCTGGTGCCCAGGAGCTGTTTTTGCCACCAGAACGAAGCCTTTCCGGAAGCTCCGTTTTTGGAACGGGCTGGTTTCATAGAGGTTTCCCTTTGAACCTGAACCGCAAAAGGGCTCTTTCTCGTCTCTGTGGAGAGCATGGAAGATGTATCTACCTCAGTGGTTCCCAGCCATAGCTTTGTTGATCTTTTAGTTGGTTTCGTGGTGGTGTCCGCATTTTACCCACTAAAAGTAAAACTTTGCTCAGTTTCCATTTGACCCGCATTGTTTTGTGTGGTGGTTTGCTCTTGCCCCACAAGTTAGTCACTTGCGTGGGATCTAAAGCAAGCAACGTGACTTCAGGCAGCCGCCGGTGGCGGAGCTCTTGCAGACCTTAGCTTCACTCCGCACCGAGCCCCGCGCCAGCGTCGTGCCCGCGCCCTGCAGCGGCCTTTGCGAGGTGAGACAGGCGCGGCGCCCGGGAACGCCCGAATAGCCCGGGGAAGGCCGTGCGAAGGTTCTCTCTCTCTCTTTTTTGTGGGGTCGCAAACAAGCCCGATATGAAAGCCGCGAACAGAGATGTCTCGTTACAAGCAAACAATGGCTGGTTGTCGACTATAGTGGGAGCTGTGATCTACTTGGAGTGGAACATTTCTGGTATTAGCTACTTTTGGTGCCAAGCGAATCCTCGTGGTGAAGTCTTGAGATGCTCGTGCGCATTTGGTGAAGTCACAGGATTAGTTTTCTCTGGGTGTCGTTTTTGAAGTTGGTGCCATCTTTCGAGGCTGGTTTAAAGGAAAACCAAACGAAACCCAAATTATGTTCAATCCTGCCCCTATTTTGACACATACCCAGATGTGCGGGTTGCTGACTGGGGGGTCCCTCTTTCACGTTTCCTACAATCCGTGCGCGGGTTTGCTCTCCAGGCTGGAAATTCTGAGCGGGGCTGAACTCAACTGTAGGGGGTCATTTTATGTTTCCTTCCTACTTCCAATTCCGGATTGGGATTCGGGATCCTCATTTTCAACAACCCAGTTTGAAGATGGACAAACCAGTATGGCAACACAAGATCATCAATTCCCTTGCAGCCCAAGTATACAGAACTTGCCATAGCTCCAAGGTGTTCCGTTTCCGGCAAGATTTCGGTGTCGCAAGCCGCCTGCAGAGTGTGGCTCTTGCGCCGCCAGAAAAGCACTCCGCCCTCCCCGCTGAAAAGGCTGTTTGCCCGGGTCTCCCTTTCAAACTCAAAAGGGTACCAACCCCAACAACAGACACCCGCAGTTGTTTGGCGCGGCTGCTGCACTCCATGGACCAGGAGTCCCGATGAGGTGCCCCAACGCACTGCCAGTCACAAGCAGAAAGTGACTTGCTCGAAACCAACAAAAAACATCTACCGGCAAACAAACGTTGGACGCACATGTTTCTTGAGGTGGAGGTGTCTCAAAGTGATGTGTCCCATCTTTCGGATATTATGCTTTTCAGGGATTCGGGAAGTTTTGCGTATGGAAACAGGTAGGGATGTGTAGGGAGCTTGTACAATACACTGCCCTTCTATAAGAGGGTACTGCCTCACACGCCACTTAATTGCCTCCATATGCCTCCAAACTCTACGAAACCTACTGGAATCTACTAGAATTTCTGCAGGCTATTCGCCAAATACCTACCAAGGAAATCCGTGTAGCTCATTCCTTAGAATCCCATGCCCACTTGAGATCGATCCCCACTCTGCAAGGTAAGCTAGGTACAGCTCTTGAGTTTACAGCTTCCGCTTTTCAGTTTCTCCGCAGGCGGCGCCTTTTTGTTCCTTCGGGCCACTGTCCTTCACATCAAACTCCAAAAGTCCCGGCGCCAGGGCCCGCAGCCGGCAGAGAACTGCGGCCTGGCATTTGCGGACTGCGTGTCAAAACCGGGGGGCAGACATGGTTGGCCTGTTTGGTGTCCCTTCGAACCTAGCAGCAACAACAGCATCACAACCAGAATGAGAACGATGACAAGAACAAGAACACTATCAACACAACCAGAGCAAGACGATCACAACGACAGCAACATAGGCAGAACAAGAACGATCACAATAGCAAGAACAATAGCAGTAGGAATCACAAGAAGGGTGCCCCTCAACAAAACCCACAGACACGACAGGGAACCAGTTAAAATGGCATCAAATCTTTGTGAGGCAACCACATGTTGCGCTGGTTTAAGGTCAAAACACAACCTCTTTTCTTTTCTTTTAAGAGACCAGCCCGTTTTGCGTTTTTTGAGAAACTATAGCAGTGACTCCTGTTGTCGTTAGGGTCTGCAATGTTTGGCACATGAAGCACACATAAGTCATCGGCCCTTTTCGTCAGAGTTGAACACATTGCTGGGCGAGTGGCATCGGACGGCGTATTTGTGTCTTCCGCCGCGCCTGGTGCTTTGGGCAAGGGGCGCAACGTGCTTTCTCTCCAAGGTGTGTTGAACGAGCTGAAATTAGCTTGCTGCTTTGGGAGCTCTTGCCTTCCAGTTGCAATTCACACAAGCGGAAGGTTTGAAGTGGCTGAGTCTCAATCAATGTTTGGGACAGAAACATGGTCAGCGGACATACAGCCCATGTAATTGCTGTAAATGATGCCGACCAAGGAATCCCCAATTCAAGTTTGTCGCCAAGTGGTTTTCGCATGTGTTTGGTCGGTCGTTTTCGCCTTCAGGCTTGGTTGTCCTGAAGGTAACATATGAACACGGAAGATGTGTTTCGTTTGGGCGGCCGGGTTCTTTGAATAGTTTTTGATTGTGTACATGGGATTTCACGCTAACCACCGTTTTGCGACTGTCGCTTGAATGACCTCAGGAATGTGATGTGTGAAAACTTGTTTGGACCCCTTCTCTGGTTTTGGTTAAAGGAAAAGCAACGTGGGAAGTATGGAACTACCACATTCCCCTGAGGATCAATTTGCAATATGCGTACAAGTGCCAAAACGCGGCGAATGATCTAGACACAAGTCGGCCATTCAGCGCGAAGCCCTTTGGTGTCTCCCTCAGGCTCCCTGGCAAAAGTTAAGAACTGTTTCTTGTGCTAACCCAAGAACATAATTGCCAGTGTCTCCGTTTCACATATCAAATGTTGTTTTGGGCATGTGGAACAACCTGCAGCTTTTGCAAAATCACATGCACATGGCGTTGCGTAGGGTGTTGGACTAATGAGGGTCATGTCATGCTGCTCGAAATCTTATCCCAGCTGCCCACTGGCACCCTTTCTTCCTTTTTTGGGAAGACTTCCTCTTTCAACTCAACCAACTAAAACAAAAAGTGATTTTTTTCTTCAGTAGCCTCTGGGCATGTGAGTTATAGGACCAATTTGGGCAAGTTGCAGTCCGGGTGTCTCTGAGGCTGCTTCCTGGGGTTTTGTGCTGATGGCGAGGGATAAAACCAGCTCGCCCTTGTCCTTCTAGACTATATATATATATATCTTGTTGGACAAGTCCAAGCCTGAGCGCCATTTTCGCTTGGAGGGATGCCAAAGTTGTCCGAAAAAGACGGCGGCATTCTGCGGTTCCTAAATCGTAGAGCCGGTCAAGGTGCTTGCTTTTTACATGGACCCCGGGCATGCTTCAACTTAGGATTCGCCCATATGCCATGCAAGACCCAATGTGATGTACCACCAAAGCCCCAAGCCGTAGCCCCCGGAGTTCTTCTCGGTGTATCCTAAGTGTCCAAGGTTCAAGAACTACTGTTGTGGGCCATCGCAGCCAGTGAGTAAGTTTGCCGGTCGAAGGATAACTGGGAAACCGAAGCAGAAGTTCTCATCGCCAGAGGCGCTCAGCTGCAGCTCCCGGACACCCACAGGCTGGTGAGCCCGGGCCGGGCTTGGCGGATGGCCCCATAAGGTTTGTGCAGGCAGTGTGGGGTAAAAAGTGAAACAGAAAACACACGGCCACTCAAAACAGCGAAACCAACAAGACTGAAAATCCGGAATTTCGAATGGATGTGGCTCAAAATGAAACCATGATATATACACCGCAGGTTTTAGTCCATGTTTCCACAGGGCAACCCGTTTTGGGTACCCATCTTTAGCCCACAGCCATGAGTCCAGGGTTTCTTCCTAAGGTTGGCCCCAGATTACATTATGCCGACCTGTTGTCTAGGACCTCCCCAAAAAAGCAAGAAGTTGAGCCCCCACTAAAAGAGGGCACCCTGTTAATCAACCAAGGGTATATGCATCCGGAGTTCCCATTATGCTCGGCAGAACACGTTGGTTCTCTATTGTGATTTGGGCCATGGTCATGGATGGGTCGCCCGGGTTCCCCTTGTAAAATCCAGGGGGCGGGAGGGGACTGAAACATTGGAGCTGTATTTGTCCTAACCCGAAAGATCTTTCCCGTACAAAAATGGACTGTTACCGGACGGAGATTGCCCAACGAAACCTGTTTAAAGTGTTTCTGGGCAATTTGGGGACAGGGATCAGCGGAGATGTGAGACGCGAAACCTTAGCTGGGCAACTCTTGGCCCAGGTTTTGGGATGATCCCACCTGTGGTTTGTATGGGCTTTCCTAAAGGAGCTGTTGCATCCATCAGAAGCAGTTGTCAATTCGAGGGTTGGCTGACTGGAGTTCCCAGCAACCAAAACAATTTGGAACCAGAGAGTTCACGTTCCCTCCCAATTGAAACTCAATGAAATCTACCTTGGCGTGTGGAGCAAGGTGACCAAACAACCAAATTTGACCTCTGAAGGAAACCAATGTTTCAGCAAGAGTGGCTTGAAACCCATGGTCTCACGAACCAAGTCCTGGATGCAGGTAGCCCGTTGCCGGAGGCCAGTTGTACCCATGCGAGGTCAAGGGGATGGGGGGCATACTCCTCCAAATCCAGGCGTGAAGCTCATCTTAGGCAATTTTTTCGGCTTGAAAAAGGACGACCTCACAACATATACTCGGGAACCTCTAAAGAGACAGCTTTGAGACCTGATCCAAGATACAGTATCTGTTCTCAAGCGCTGAGAGTTCCGGGATCTTTGCCCAAACATGCTCACTGGCAGCTCTAAGGGAGCGGTTCCGGAAGGGCAATCTGGGCTGGAGGTTTGGACACACAGCAGCTTCATGAGCTCCGCTTTTGCCCGCGAGAGTCGGAGGCACTTTGGCATAGGGGCATTTATTCGAAGGATGTGTGCATTTTCAAGACGAGATTTTGAGCTGCGCCTTTCTTTCAGAAAGGTAAAGCCTACTGCAAGTTCACTCTCTTGCGAATCCGCTCAAGTGAGTCTCCGACAAGCTCAAAGATTTCCCAAATCAACCCCAAAATACCCCTCTGCCATTTTGGCTTTCCGTTTTCCCATGTTAGAAGCAAACACGCGGTGAGCGCTTTTCGCGGTTCAGCTGACCCGTTCGATCGCAATTTCGATTTTCCAGGCCGCGGCACCTGGCCCAGTTTCTGTCCTGTGACGGGCCTTGTACCGATCAAGACTTGGATTACTGCGCCGTGAGGAAGCAGGTGGAAGGGGTTGGACGGGCGACGCAGCGGGAGTGAAGGGTGAGTTTGGGTTGGGATCGATTCGAGAGTTTGGATGGATGGGATGTTGGACGGTTGATTTTGTTGTTGGATGGATTTGGGCTGGCCTTTGGGTGGCATTGCTGAGTTGTAGTAAAGTTTTGTCAAGTGAGTTTGAATGTGTTTGGAGTGATTGAATGGCTTTGGATGGCTTTGTGTGTGTGTACGCAGTGTGTTCGTGCATTATGATTTTATGTGTATATATATACACACACGTGTGTGTGTGTGTGTGTGTGTGTGTGTGTGTGTGTGTGTGTGTGTGTGTGTGTGTGTGTGTGTGTGTGTGTGTGTGTGTGTGTGTGTGTGTGTGTGTGTGTGTGTGTGCGTGTGTGTGCGCGTCTGTGTGTGTGTGTGTTTCTTTGGCATTTTGCCGTGGCTTTGCGCACGTTTGAAGATGTTGTGCGGATGTTTGAAAATTCAGCGTCCCATTGGGAGAGGTGAAGAGGAAGCTCAAAGGCAGTTCAAATTCCCCCATTGAGTACTGATCTCCCCCCCCCCCCCCCCCCCCCCGGGAAAAGCAACCTGTTTGCAAAACAGTATCTTCTTTGGCCCGCCTTCATGTTTTCTTGGCGATCCCAAATCCCAACCCAAACTTTCGTGGCGGTGCTGTTGTCATGTTCTGTCGCTTTTTCAGCCACTTCCATGATATGGCTGGCTCTTTTTTTTAATGCCGTCGATCCCCATGTTCCTACGAAAGCCATCAAGTTGCATACCTAGAAACTCCGTTGGCGGAAATGTCCGCCCGTTTTCTCAAAGGCAGACATTTCCGCCTTTGTTCTAAAAACAAAACAAAAAACATAAAAAAAAGCCGGGGATGGGGAAAAAACGCCCGAGCCAAGGAAAAATGCCGTCGCCACAACGCTACACTGAGACGCCCACGATGCACTCAGCCCTCAATGGTTGCCAATGTTTTGGCAATTGTCCCAACTGACGCGCGCTTCAAAAGGGCGACGCCACCAAACCATTTTCACCCACAGCAAAGGCTGTGGGAAGGTCTAGAGTCTCGAATGATTGTTTCCCTTGCGCGCCCGGCATGTCTCCGTGCGTCTCGGGCGTTGGCAAACACCCTGCAGATGCATGGCGGGCTTGCAGTCAGCCATGCTACTAAAAGGATGGTCTCAAACGCTGATCAAAGGGGGATGGACGCCCACTGTTTTTCGACCTGGGGAATTCCGCCCGTTTCCCGGGGAATTATGCCCGTGCTCCGGCCCTGAAAACTCCGAACATTGGACAAGAACACGTTGCCAAGAGCGTCCGGCATATTGTGAAGGCCTAGAACATCACCATTCCCAGAAATAGAAAAGAAATGCTCGCCTGTGAATATTCTCTCCCAACTGCACTTTCCAGGATCTCCAAACTTCCCATCCATGAGGGCATCAAAGCAAGACATGGGATAATCAGAAAGAAAGAGATGGAAGTCCAACAAGCCAACGGCAGGGAACACCATAGAATCGCATTTCAATCCGAAAGAGGTGCTCAGAAGTCCAAGTGAGTAGGGGCTAAGCGGTGCTTAAGGTACCTCATCGCGAACATGCAAAAACGCCGGCGCCAAGTCAAAAACGCCGTCACGAGGAAACAGGCGCCTTTTCCCAAAATGGGCGGAAATTTCTGCCAGAAGGATCTTCTAGGCTCATCGGATGTTTTAAGTTGGTACCCCCAACAAAAGCCGAAGTCATTTTGGGGGTCAAAGACACAATTATAGGGTTGCTCATCATTTCCCACTATGGTCCATTTGGGGAGATGGGGAACGCGCCAATTTCTAGAAACAACGACAGGGACTCGCGAAATTCCCTGTTCTCTTTGTGGCTCATGCCTTTTCCCTCGCCTTCGCAGAGCTCCCAATATGTCCATTGGATGGGTTTCGAAATCATCCTTTGGGAGAAGTCAAATTGAGCTCGCATTGAGGGAATCCGTTTGGGGCGCTTTTAAAAGGGAAACCATTGTTGGAGTTCCCTACAAAACCTGAAGAGACACCCTTAGAAGCCGTAGCAACGGACAGCAGTATCGGCCTTGGTATTTGGGTAGCTTATTTCCAATTGGTAAAGGGTGTTGGGTGTCAGCCAACTGATCGGTAGATTCCTCCCTTTTCCCCTGCTGGTGGGTTTTCCAATCAAACTGGCTCCCCAAAAGCTGTATACGGGAAAACCCCCCAAAATGGGTGGTACGTGTTCCTTTAATTCCCTTCAACAAAGTCGATAGCCGGGCGCCCTCGACAAAGCACAGGCCCATATCTATCAGCCCCATTGGTTGAAACCTGGTTAAAACAAGCCCACTGTCCCAGCAGCCCGGCCCTACCTCGACCCCCACAGAGATCTAAAAACAGCTGCCTATTTTCGAGGACCCCCACATCTCAAGTTGAATCGGACCCAGAAAGGGTATGAAAGGGTGGTCTCCTTAAAACGCAAAAACAACTACTGTATTCTAGAGTTGTCTCAACCGAATCCGACATGTCTTCGGGCGAAACCGGATTCAAACAGACTCGCCGTCGCCGAGTTGCGGCGGTAGGTGCCGAAGTTGGCGAGCGGGTGTCTCGAGGGCGGCTCCGGAGTTGAGGAAAGCGTCGGATTCCTCGCTCGTTGTAACCCGTTGAAATGGGGGCGGTGCGGTGTAGCTACAGTGGACGGAACTTCCGTGATTTCCAGAGCCAGGGGTTTGATTCGAGGCCGGGAGACTCGAGTAGGGGATTTTTGAACTCGGGGGTAGGGTAGGTGTCCTTTTGAAAACAGCGAGCTTTTGTAAACTCCCAAGCCCTTACCACAATGACAGGTTTTGCACAGCCAAACTATAGTGCCAAGATGCCCAGGCTCAGAGATCATCATTTTTTGGCAGAATTGAGTCAGAAGCACCAAGACGTCATATTTGGGGACACCCCAACATTGGGGTGAAGGTGGGGACTTGGCAAAAAGCTGAGCTTAGCAACAAGCAGTCTTTACATCCATGGACCACTGAGCCGAAAGGGCAGATGCGTTGATCGCAAGGAGTAGGCTGCATGGTGCCAGCCCTTGAAATCACGTCAAGCGACAGATCGGAAGGTGACCCCTTGGCTGAGCTGGGAAGATCTCAAAGCGCAAAGGGCTTGTTTTTTTTGACAGGGCCCCTGCTTTGATTTGCCGGGCATGTTTCATTTTCGAATCTTTTAAATGACACTGCCATTTATTCAAATGCTCTCTTGCAGCTAAATGTTTGGGTTCCATGTTGCTTCTCAGGAGGGTATGTGAATCTGTTGTATCCTTTTTGAGGTTGAGAGCACTTGTTTGGAGGAGTTTAGCGGGTGAGCAAACTGACGCCCCTCATGTTGGCCGACCATTTGAGACAAACCAACGTTTTCTTCCAATGTGGGAGCCTTATTCTGGCTTTTCCATTGTTTGCCCTTGAACCCATCCCAAGAACACGCAAGTAGCGTTCCGAGGGCGCAAAGGGCTGAGGGCTTGAGTCATCCTGTAAGTTGTGCCTTGGTCGTGCACCTTGTAGCTCGTAATGTTGACCCCCCATACAAATCAACCCCAGTTTATTTGTAGGGGGGTGTTCCCCTCCAAAAGTGGCCTGGTTCCCCACTAAGCCCAGAAATGGGCACCCCCCTAAGAGTAAACTGGGGTTGATTCGTATGGGGGGTCAACAATACAAGCTAAAAAATGGTTCTATAGGGATGTGTCTATTTCTGGGTTTAGCGGGAATTTGGCTGATCCATACAGGGTTTGCATTAAGTGGAACTGCTCATGACTGGGAAAAGCATGTTTTAAGTGGCATCTTATTTCAATTCCAATGGCTGTTATGACACTTGCAGATGTGACAGGAAAGGTGGCGCGATGAGCAATGTCTGTGCTGTCTCATTTGTTGTCTTGGTTGTGGTCGGCTTGCTGTGTAGTGCTCGGAAGGACACAATTTGAAGCGTTTTGAGCGCAAGCGCCAAATAGTTCCCTTAGTGGTTCTTTGAGACTTGGTTATATTCAACGGTTCCTTCTCAAGGATTCCCTCAAGCCATAGGTTGAAGTTGGAAACAGAGATCACTTCACTGCCAAGCCTTGATGTGGGCGTATTCTCGGCCGCCAGTCCATTGGTCAGCACATGGGTGTGTTCTTTTTAGGGCACCCACGAAAATGGAGGTTGTAAATTTGTGTCCTTTAAAACTAACCTAAAAGGGGTTCCCCCAACAAAAGACAGACCCACATCATGCTGTTTGCGCTGGATGTTAAAACAGCACAGTGTGTGCGTTGTTGATGGGGATCCTTGGCGGGTGCTTTTGGAGTTGCATGAGCGATTGGCGGACTCCACATAAAAACAACCCAATTCCCACTTTCGCCCACCCCCCAACAGCAAATACAAGAATGGAGCTTAAGACCACGTGCCCTCTTCGGGAACCATTTGCTTTGGTCTGTCAGGAGACTACCACCCAGGAGCTCAATTTCACAGAGGACAGCGCTCTCCATGCGCCTCGCTCCGAGAGAAAGGTATTGGCACGGTCCCAAGACCTGACGGGGGGGGAGGGAGGGTCACCCCTTGTTGTAGTTGTACCGGGAAAGCTACAGGAAAACCACCATTTTGGGGCTTCTCTTAAAAAGACACACCCACATGTGGGTCTTTTGCTTCCCCCTGTACAAGAACAGAACACCTGTCGTCCCTGGTAAGGGGGGGGGTGTTTTCGAGACATCACATTGCCGGGCAAGCAGCAGGATTTGCCTGCAAACAAAGCACCGATGGTTTAACGGGAAACCAACAATGGCAGTTGCCACATGGACCGGTGCTGTACGTTTGCGACACGCCCGATTTGCCTTGATTTGGTGACTTTTGCACTGGTGGCAAGACCCCTGCTCACAAGAGTTTGGGCTCAACAAGTCAAAAACAGTCGTGTAGTTGTTTGGTGGTTTTTACAGTCCCTGTTCTGTTCACAAGTCCATTTGCGCAATATCCGTGAATTCACAAGGGAGCTACACACACTCACTTATCTTATGATGGGTGGATTCATGTGGGGTTGTGGATTCAGGGTCATGGTTCCCAGCGGAAACTCACTAAGTGTCCGCTGAAGCAGTTGCTTTGCAAGAGAAAACCACGAGAGAGCCAAGATGCCAGAGCCATGATACCTTGAAAAGAAAGAGATGCGAGTTGGTTCCCTGCAGATTAGCGCAGCACCCAAGAAGATCTAGGCATGCTTTGTATTTCGTTCCATGCAAATCTGCAGGAACGTAGCACATGTGTTCAATCCGACACATTTAGCGCGGCTGTGTTTTGGGTGTTCTTTGTGTGTGCTTATGTTTGTGCTAATCGGTCGTTGTCTTTCGCTGTGGGCGCGTTTGGTGTGTTGGTGGTCTTGCCTGTGTGTCGGGCTCTTAGTTTGCCAGTTTGTTTAGTTTGTGTGTTTTATGTTTGTTTGTATGTTTGTTTGTTTGTTTTGTGGCTGTTTGTTTGTTTGTTTGTTTGTTTGTTTGATTGTATGTTTTTTTTTGTATTTGCTTGTGTGTGTGTGTTGGTTTGTTTGTTTGTTTGTTTCTTTGTTTCTTTTCCTTTTTTTCCTTGCTTACTTGTTCGCTTGTTTTGTTTTGTTTGTTTGCTTGTTTGTTTGTGTGCTAGCTTGTGTGCTAGCTTGTGTGTTTGTTTGTTTGTTTGGTTGTGTCTTTGTTTGTTTGTGTGTTTGTGTGCTAGCTTGTGTGTTTCTGTGTTTGTTTTGCTTGTTTGTTTGTTTGTTTGTTTGTTTGTCTGTCTGTCTGTCTGTCTGTCTGTCTGTCTGTCTGTCTGTCTGTCTGTCTGTCTGTCTGTCTGTCTGTTTGTTTGTGTGTTTGTTTGTTTGTGTCTTTCTGTGCATCTCTGTTTGATATGTTTGGTTTGTTGGGTTTGGTTTGATTTGGTTTGCCTGCTCGCTTGTCAGCCTATGTGGTTGCATTAGAGTGGGTTTCTGCGAGTGTGTGGTTCGTAGTTTTTGTTGCTTGCTTGCCTGGTTGCTGGTTGTCTTCTTGTGCGTTTGTGTTTTGTTTGTTTGTGTGGTTGTGTGGTTGCGTGTCTATCTGTCGGCCTCTGTCTGTCTGTCTGTCTGTCTGTCTGTCTGTCTGTCTGTCTGTCTGTCTGTCTGTCTGCCTGTCTGTGCGTCTGTGCGTCTGTCTGTCTATTCTTCTGTCTGCTGTCTGGTGGCTGGCTATTTGTGTGTTTCTTTGTTGCTTGTGCTTTTGCTGTTTGATGTGCCGAGTTGTGGTGTGTGTGTGTGTGTGAGTATGATCAGTTCTTTGTTGTGCTACATTGCATATTCTTGTACAGCGGTTGTAGTGCAGTGAATCGTATTGTGTTGATGCTGTATCGTGACGTGGTTTTGCTGGCAAGCTGTTAAACCTGTTCCAAGCGCAACAAACAACTGTTCGGCGTACGTCGAGCATAATTTAATGTTTTCGGCTGCATGTAAATTGTCTGTGATCGAGGCATTCTCTCTGCAAGCAGAAGACGGTGCTCACCAAAAGATAAAAATCAAATGTCTCCGGTCCGAAATGCTGTGGGGCACGTTTTAACAGGGAGTATTTAAGCCGCGAACGTTGATTTTGTTTTTTCGGTTGAAGAACTTTGGGAGATATGTTCGGCCAAGCTCGAGGTTTATGTTTGAGAAATCAGTATCAATTAGTGCATTAGTGTTGTTATCATTACTATTATTATTATTATTATTATCATATTATTAAGTATTATTATTTGGCTGTGTGGTACATGTCTAGTTACGTTTCTGGTTTGCTTCCAGAACTGGCCCAACACCCCAACACGGGCCACACTTTCTGTTTCGGGGTCGCGTTTGGCAGATGTCCGCCATTTTCAGAACTCTATCTCTTGACCAAATCCACTCCTGAGGCCCCATACCCTACGGTTCCTTCGGCTGTTTCAATGGCCATTGACAAATACATTCCAAGGAGTGCGGTGCGGATTCTCCGCTGAGCATGGGCTTATGTTGATTGGAAAATCGAATGTCCTGCACTGCAAAGGCAGCGTTTTGGCTTCCTGGTACCAACAGGTGGTCTCTGGGCCAAAGCCCTTTTCAAATGATCAACAGCTCGCAAGCTCTGGTATGTTTGGCTTACCTCTTCTCGAATTGAACCAGCTAATTCGATTGATTTTTCTTTTTGTTCTTCCCTGAACTGCATCGTTTGTTCAACATTCATCCATCCAATTGAAATGACGTCTGATCCTCCTTCCATTTCCTTCAAAGGTACTCCAAGTTCTTGAAGTGTAGCCGGGTTTTGAGATCCAGAGAATGGTCCAATGGCGTATTGTGAAAGCCACATTAACAGCATATTCATCGGTGAAATAAATAAATCTGGAAGTTGATCCTGCCTGCGACCAAGGGGTCAAATCGTGGCCACAACCACATAGCATCTGGATGTTGCTCAAGTTAGGCGGAGCATATCAGCGATTCCTCTTGGTTTCCCACTGAACCGCCAACCAAAAGAGGCTCCATCTCATTCATTTGTTTCCTGCCTGCTTTACTCTGTTGTGCCAGGTTCGCAAACCATGCTCGTGGAAGAGGGGTTCATGTTTGGGCCACTGTCCGTGACACCAAGGCGATTCCAATGTGCAAAAAGTCACAAGCTCGGCATAGGGATGGGGATCTACCGCTTCAAAGAATGGACCTGGCCCATGCCCGCGTACCGTCATTCGGGCACCGAAGTCGGCACCGGTAGCCCTATCAGAACCATATCAGAACCTTGCAACATGAAAGGGGAGTGATCCCAAAGCTTCTCAACCTCAACCATCCCTTTCGTTTCTGCGGGAGGGGGGAGGTGCTTTGGTTCGATTCCCAAACGCTTTCTGGGGACTATAAGCCAGGTAAAATGGGGATCCATGGGTAGGTGTTTGGTTTTTTTGGGGGTTTGGGAGTGACGGATGGAGAAAATCTGCGGGTTTTGCATGGACGGACGGCTTGGACAGAGGTACCCTCAACCCAGGTGATCGTCTACTTTGTGGTCCGTACATCACGGCGGATCGAGAGCAGCCTCGAGCTGGCAGGCAGCGTTGCGCGTATGAACATGGAGTTCACCGGAGAAAATGGGCGGTCAAAGGTCAAATAAGGGGGACGGGTGGCTTTGCTGTTGGTTCCCTCAACCCTGCTTTTTGAAGAGGGTACCTTCACAAAAAGACAAATTGGGCCCTTAAGAAAAATGGGACCTCCAAGACCCACAGTCCTCCGAGGAATGGGGCGGCTGCCCCACTGGCGAAACCAACTACCGTTGGCATTCCAGCTTCAAAGTCCGATTTTCTGAGGGTCGAACTTCAAGTGATTTATCAGGCGTTTGGATTGGTGATTTGGGGATTTGACACATAGTTCTTGTAGAGGATAGATGGGAAACTCCTCCAAGCACCAAGCTACCAATCCAAGCCGTCAATTGGAATGAAGCTAAATTTACTTTCCGGACACTCCCTCCAAAAATTAAAAGGCTGCCTTGGTCACTTGCCCTACAGGAAGCCAAAACGGACTGCTTTTTCCAAAGCCCGTATGCACTTTGTGGTATATGGGCCTGGACGGTGTCCATTGGCATTTTTCATGTAAGTGTGAGCCGGTTAGGACCATCTAGGAACTCGAATTGTCCCTCCCTTCCTCCCTTGTGGTTGATGGAAGAGGAAATTAGGAGGTTGGGGCCAAAGGCCGAGAATGACTTGCATGAGTGGACGAGGCAACCAAACCAGAACCTCCCCCCCCCCGCCCTTCAATGTGGTTGGATCCCCCAAAAAGAAACTCATATGAAATCGGAAGGAGCCCCTTGGATGTTCCCCTTGCAGATAGAAAAGCCTACAACAAACCAGTCTGTTTCGGGAAGCGACAAGCTGCGAGGCCAAGCGATGTCTCCGTCTCTTCAAGAAACTGACAGCCGGATGGTTCCCAGCGATGCCACGCTGCGATTTGTCTCCGCTGCCGGGCAGGAGAGACGGGGAGGTCTGACGAACCAGTCTGCGCAACAGGTTTGCTTAAAGTCGATGCACACTTATGCCAGGTTAACTATCACAGTAAGTTGTGAAGGTGATGTTGATTTGAAGGATACCCCTGACAGGAAGGAAAGGAGGGTGATGACCCCAACCCTTTTTGATTTTGATGATACCCTTGTGATGTTTGGATTGGGCCTTTAGGACACCAACGGGCGAATCACTTAGGGTGACCCCTTCATGTTGCAAGAATTCCCACACCATATGGAAGAAACCCAAAGGGGTGGTCCAGGATGAGTGTGGGGCTTGGCCTATCCGAGTGTGTGTGTGCTTGTTTTCGAATGAAAACCAAGAAATACAAACCAATTCCTCTGACGGAAGCGGGCGCGGTTTTTCAGAAGCAGACGGGGGGCGGGGGGGCGCACAGAGCACGCCTTGTTCTTTGCTCGCCTGAAGGGATGGGTCTGTTTTTGTAGGACAAATGTTCCTTTTTCTCTTGACACCATCCAAATGATTCCACTTATCTTGGAAAACCCTGCCGGCTTCTCTGTCAAAGCTTAAACTCAGCCTACAGGCAAAAACAACTTGTCCTGCTGTCCCATGGATGGACACCTGCTTTTGGGGAGGAGTCCTCTGAATTCCAGCACAAGGGATGAGCCTCAATTATTTTGCCCCGAAACCACTAGAAAGCGCATGGTGTCAATGAAAGCTGTATATATATATATATATTAACATATGTATATTAACATATGTTAATATATATATATATATATGCAACCCCCCCAAGGACCTACCTTTTGGTTGCCTCTCCAGTGCATGAATGGCCCATCTTGGACTGGGAGGAACGATCTCTCAGGACCAAATGAGACTAGAACCCAGGATCTCTCAACTGGGACTAGGACCAAACTAGGACTAGACGACCCACCTCAGATTCTTACAAAAAATGAACTTCAAGCATAACTTCCTCTGCAATGTCCTGTATATGTTCTAATTATTGCAGTAAACTAGGGAGCAACCTAACACTAGAACCAAGGATCTCTCATCTAGGACCAAACTAGGACTAGACCATTTAATTCTACGTCTTATAGTATTTGGATGTCAAGTATTACATTCTCATAAAAGTCCTGTTTACTATTTGGTCCTAACATGTAAATTCTGACTGGATATTCTCCTTATTTCAATTTCAACTGTTCAGCTGGAAGTTGCATAGAACTTGACTAATATATTAACTACAATTCATAACGAACTTCCTTTGTAATGTCCTTTATACGTTCTATGTATTTCAGTAAGCTAGGACCATACTTGGCCTAGAACCAAGGATCTCCCAACTAGGACTAGGACCAAACTAGGACTAGCTAGTTCTGAAAGTGATTGAATTTCAATGTACAATGGTCTATTGGACAGGAAATCGTTTGTGTCATTTATATAATTTGACCTAAACAATGAATATTCAAAATCGAATCTAAATCGCAATTTTGGCTGGAGTATGTCCTTCTTAAGCTCCATTGAATTTCATTCAGAAATAAGGTCGAATTTGATACAACATACTAAGTGGAATGCATAAGGAAAGAATCCAAAGGTCCCAAACTTGTGTCTTTCACTAGTCCTAACACTACCTTGGTCAGAAAACACCGTAAAACACAGTGTTGTGTAGCGTTTTTCATACTCAATTCATCATCTCCACCAACGAACGCTCTCTAAATGCTCATTTGAACTTGAACAGGATTTAATTGGGACTCAATACGGAAATATTTGGTCAGAATCCTAATGGTAATCAAATTTGAGATTGCGAGTTTAAATAGAGTTCCTTTCCCAATATATACTTGCAATTCAATATGAGCTTTAACAGGATTTGATAAGGAAAGAACCCATATTCTCTAGACAAGTCTTCTTTGCAAACGCGAGTCCAGGCCCGAGTGAAACCCATTGGGACCGACTGAAATTTCAGTTGAGCCTGGGTTCAATATTCCCTAGAAAACTTTGACCTTCAATCTTGAATGTGGGCCTAGATTGAAACAGATTGAATGAATAATCAGGACTCGAATGCTTGCACAACACTGTGCCAAAGTACAGCCGCGCAAAGTGCAATGTTGAATTTGGGTCTCGATTTAAATCGATTTAAATCGATTTAAGTTCAAATGGGGCATGGATTCAAGATTCAAGATTCAAGAATACTGGCCAAACTTTTCCAGGGAATCTTGAATCCAGGCGTCGATTTAAACCGATTTGAACTGATTTAACTTAAATCGGGCATGGATTCAAGATTCAAGAATCCAGGCCAAACTTTTCCAGGGAGTCTTGAATCTTGAATCTTGAATCCATGCCCGATTTAAGTTAAATCGGTTTAAATCGGTTTAAATCGACGCCTGGATTCAAGAATCCCTGGAACAGTTTGGCCTGGATTCTTGAATGTTGAATCTTGAATCCATGCCCGATTTAAATTAAATCGGTTTAAATCGGTTTCAATCAAGCCTGAAGCGGAAATGCTTGTTTTTCATTGCTCTCCCCAAAGCCCACAAAAGGGTAGAAAACACTGCAAATACCAGTGAATTCATCAAAAAGGTAGGTCCCTTGCAAGGGGGAACCATATATATATATATATATATATAGGCAACATCTAATGGGTCCTTGCGAATGAACCCTTATATAATTTGTCCCACTTACGTAGCCTGTATTGTGATGCCACATTGACAATACGTTTGGACAATTCAAATGAATGAGAGCCTGTGTAGTTGGCCTAGTGACAATACGTTTGGACAATTCAAATGAATGAGAGCCTGTGTAGTTTCTGGGGGCCACCTTGTAGCGTGGGCTCAGGTGCCCAGAAGGAATTTGTAGACCCTGATCCACCTGATCCACTTCCACCCATGTAGAGCATTTCGCCCACCTTGGGCATTGTTGGCATGACGGAGAGCTCAACTTAGCATCTCCAAGTAGCACTGCAACCAGGCAGAGGTCAGACAGCTGAAGCCCTATCAGGGCAAACGCTGAGATGCGTTGTTGCGACTCCGGGCAGCTCCAATTGCAGTCCGGGATATCCTTGTGCTACGTGGCCCGTCCCTTGGTCATTGGGGATGGATTATCAACACAGGCGGTGTCTTTGTTTTGGTTCCTACCACAACTTTCCCCTTCAGTTGGCAAAAGCAAGGGGTGTGCTCACAAAGCTTGAACCTTTTTCCTTCTGCAAGTCAACTGAGGTCAGCCGGGTGACCCTTTCTTGGCGGTGCTTCCCGGGAGTGATCGCAGTGTGCTTCGGGAGGTATGGAGACAAACCGGCAACCCTAATTGCACCTTCTCAACGATGACATGCTGGTTTCCTTTTGGTTTCGCTTTTGCTTTCCCAGCTTGGAAGCGGCATGTGTGTTTTGCCCGCACGAAGTCGCAGGCGGCGAATTGGAGCGTCTGCTGGCGCGCGCCTTGCTCGAGCTGGTCCACCTGCCCAGCGTGGCTACCGCTGCGCCCCGATGGAGAATTCTGCGCGGAAAGCGCATGCTCCACGAGTGACGTGGAGGTGGGATGTGCCTTGGTTGTTCGTTGTTGTTTTTCTCAGAGGGCCCTTTTGTCCTCATTGCGATTTTTCTGGTATTGGCGAGACGTTTTTCTGTGTAGTCATTGGGTTTCCGGTCGGTCGGTCGGTTGGTTGGTCGGTCGGTCAGTCGGTCAGTCGTTTGAACACCCAACATTTTAAACCCCTAAGCCCACCCTCAACCCATTCCAAACCAACCCTAGATCAACCCTAAACCAGCAATACACCCACCCAAAACTCTATACCAAGGCTGCTGAGATGCAAAATTTTCGCTGAACTCACAACTTGACCCATCTAAGATGCAAGATTGAAACTCGGGGGTACGCAGAGTACTCTTGTCCAACCACTTGCGCCACACCCCCAATCCTAAACAGCACCCTAAAGACCGGAAAACCACCCCAAACCAACTCCAATTCACCCTAAACAAACCTAAACCTGTCAAAACGCCGCAATAGACCAAGCGCCGCCTACCCCAAACCCACAATGATCCGCCCTCAACAAACCCCAGCGCAGCCCTAGATCAACCCCAAAGGCAATCCAAACCCACCCTAAACTCAGCCTCATCCAACCTGAATCGACTCCAAACAGAAACTATACGAACAGAATCACACCCGAATCCACCCCAAATCAGCACTGAACATCCCCCGCCCCCACACTAACCCTTGACCCATCTTAAGCTCCCTAACCTTGACCCATCTTAAGCTCCCTAACTCCCATACCCCCAAAATCCAGCCTACAATCCACCCCACGTGCCTTCCTGGAGTTTCTCCTCGCGAAATCCAGTTCGCAGCACCCCATGTCTCGGTTTTCTACAATCGGCTTTGGGTTGTTCTTGTTTTTTTTAAAGAAAGATCCCGGCAAAGCATGCGGAAAGTTGCCGAGGAGGTTCGGCAACCCCCTGCGTATGCAACCTTTGGGATGAATGCAAAGGACATTTGATCATTGCGTGTTTGGCTATCTCATTGCCAGTCAGGTGTTTTCGTTGATGCACAACCGCCGCCAGCGCTTTGCGGCCTTTGTCACTTCTGGGGGGTTGCTACCTCGAGGAAGGTTCCATTGCCTCCCAAGTTTGTCAGGTATTGCAATAGAGAGGGTGCGGCTTGAAAAGTTAAGAGAGGCCGAGCTTCATGAAGGCCTCCTAGACCATGCCGTTTTCCGGGCGTGTTCAACATGTGAAGGATTTGCAAATGTGAAATGGTGCGAATCGCAACACTTTCCCACGAGGGACCCTGCAATGCACCGGCAAGAACCATGGCCTTCACCTGCCCACTTTGTAAGGCCTAAAAACCGCTGAGATCCCTGGAGGATCTTTGGGTTGAAAACATCCCAAGCGGCACTGGCCTCCCAAGTTCCGGCAGGCTTGCTGCTGGCCTAGGACTGCGCAGTTTTACTCAGGCAGGGAGTGGCACATGTCAGTTTCTTCCATTTTTGGATCGGTTTCCTTCAGCACATCAAGATCCCACCTGTTCCCGGGCCACTTCTTCTTCTATCTGTGTTCGGGCGGGTTTCTCTTGAAACCAAGCTTCAATTGAAGCACGTGGCACGCCTGACACTTGGGTGTTTGACTTGTGATGGAAAGTAATGGTTGCTTGCAGGGATTCGGCCTATGAGAGTCTCTCACGCGTTCTTTCTGGGATTGCCGTGAAAGCCTTTCGCTTTAAGAGGTGGCACATGACATTTGAGCAGCGTCTCAAAACCCCGTGTGGGAGTTGTTGCCATTTTGATAGATGGTTCGCTTTCTTCCAATGTTTTGGATAGAATCACCTGTATCAGCCACCTTCCTGCGAGTAGACTGAGCATACTGGAGCTTGGCAATGACATGGTCACCAGGCTGTTCACTGTTCATGATGCTTGGGGACACTCGAGGAATCCCCAGTAGGTGACTAAGAAGACGATGAAAGTAAATTGAAGACTGTAAGGATAGAATCTTATGAAGACTACTCCAAAATGATACCACGTGAATGTTCAGGTCTGGAAACAGCAATGATAAGGCTGAACAAAATGAATGAACTCGCACATACAATGGACATTTGTGCAGCTATTTTCTATGGGGGTGGACCAGCTGGTGGCACCTTAGAATCTTGGCCTTGGGTTGTGGAGGCGAGAACAACAAAGGGCACCGCGGAGCTTTGCACAAGCCTTGTGCAGTTCCTTGGATCGTTTCACGAACCCACTCAAACGTTTCTCGCTTTGTGTGTTTTGGTGGGTACTACGACACCTGTTTTATTTTAGGCCGCGTGCTTCTCTGGCGTTGTTAATGAAGGTTCGTAATCCTCACCGGAGGGATGGGGGGGCTTTGGCAATTTGGGATGGTTTACACACAATTCTTCTCAGTTCCATGGAAGTGTGGCAAAGCCAGAGCGTGGAGGCTCAGACCTGTTGCTTGAGTCACTTCAGTTGAATGACCTATCAATGTGCTTGCTCATTGTGGAACCTGAACCATCAAAGTGGTTGATCAGTTTGAACCTATGAACTCCATCCGGACCTCACGGAGCGGGGCATTCCTTCGGACAGGCGATGCCAAATTGATGTGTTACCCTTTTGCGACCCCGTTAGCACGGAAGTAAAGGGAGCCAAAGAGCTCCCTTTTGGCCCTGTGCTCGGAGCTTCTGTTGGATCAAACCCTGCCAAAATGCCGCAATAAACCAAGCGACACCCACCCTAAACCCACAATGATCCGCCCACAACAAACCCCAACGCAGCCCTAGATCAACCCCAAAGGCAACCCTAAACTCTGAACCCACCCTAAACTCAGCCCAATCCAACCTGAATCGACTCCAAACAGAAACTGAACGAACAGAATCACACCCGAATCCACCCACATTAGCACTGAACACACCCCCAGACTAACCCTTGACCCGAAAACCAGCAAGTGGCGAAAATGGGCCTCTCGAAAGTTTCCTATATTATTTTTAATCAGGGACCCTTTGGTGGACATCAAAATTCGGTGGGGGTTTATGTCCACCAATCACGTTTCAGGGGGTTCCACATTCAAATTCATAACCATATACACGTCCCCTAGCTTTTTAGCTGTCATGTGAGTCTTTACAGTCTTTGTATCGACCGACCTCCTTGCAGGGCTTGATGAGGTACAGTTTTCACTGAACTCGCCTAGGGTCAAATCGAAGTTGGGCCTAGAAGGTCCTTATGGACTCCAAAGTGTATTTTCCCCCTATTCATAAATGTAGGCTATTGATAAATAGCGGGTCCCCCAATACTACTTTTGGAACTGGCCAATTCTAAACCAGTACTAAACTGGGTGATTGCTGCCAAAGCTGCGGGGTCTCCAAGACCCAAGCTTCCTGTACCAACCCAGTTTGTGTTGCAGCCAAATGACAAAGTATCGATGTTGAAGCTTTCCAAGGGGGATGTTCATTGGAATTACGCACGCCAAGGTCCCATTTTCCGTTGAAGTGTGAACACACATTTGTCTCCCTGCGTACTGCCTATTCCCTTTCAAACAGCTTTGCCCTTTCAGCCAGCCACAAGTTGGGCCCGTTTCAAGGGAAGAGTACATTTGCATTTTCGGCCCCTTTTTCCTACTAAAAAATATCGCTTGGCCCCCAGCCAATATGTTTCAATTAAGGGGGAGGTGTATTTATTGTTGGGGGGAAGCGATGATCTCAGATTGAAGAATTGCAGAATTGGAGAAGCTGGAGGACGCTTGCAATCATCCAATAGTTTGTGAGAGGTGTTCAGACCTTATAGTGCAGCCTGATTTTCTTTTGCATGGGCAAAGCGCACTCGAGTCCCTCGCTTGTTTAAGGCTCCGGCTGCAGCTCATAAGATCTCAACCCATTCTCCAACCCCTCCGCTCGCCTCCAAAGACTCCCAAAGCCTTGTTAGGATACAAGGAGGAGGAAGGATTGCGATAGGTTCGGGATTTCCAACATACACCGGAGCACTCCGGCATTGTCAGGAATTTGGCACATTGACAAGGATGTAGAAATGGTTCCTTCCAGAGGACGGCAAATTGTCAACAGCTCCAAAGACAAACAAGCAGACAAACAAGCAAGCAAGCGAGCGAGCGAGCAAGCAAGACAACCACTGCGGCCGTTCATTTCGCCTTCGTTTCTGGCCAGGGGCGGTCTTTTCGACACCTCTTCGGTCTGCTGTGGACATGGTGATAGCACCAGAGGTGCGGGTGAAGGTTCGCTGGGCGGTGCGAACAATCCTGGGTAATGAACACCCAGCGAGGGTGAATGGATCCCCAACGCATCCTGCAAAGCCCTGACTTGCAGCTTGAGCGGGCATGTCTTTGTTTAGCCCACAATGGGTGGTTCTCCTTTTGGTGTTCCCTTTAAAACCAGATAAAATGTGTATCTGCAAAAGAGGGCTGGGGTGGGGTTCCGGGTTATGAACCCCTGCGGTTTCATCTGCCTATAAAAAAACGGGTTCCCAAAGAGTCCAGCAGGTTTCCGGGGTCCAACTTGTGAGGCCGCGACGGTCCTTCGAAGGGGAATGAGTCTCTGTCTCGGAGAAACTTCCCGGCCCAAGGAGCATCACTTGCAGTTCTTGACTTGTCGACCCACTCTTTCCATTGGTCACCTTGGTTCACACCCTGCGGATTCTTCCTTAAAATGGGTGGACCCATGGCCGAAGATTGTACGTGATGTCGCCCTTGTGATCCGCGAATCGCGATAAAGGGATTCAAAGTCATGGGAAGCAACCGCTTGAGTCTCGCAAGGGTGAAGCTTTTTACCGCAGGCTGTCCATTGGTCGTTTGAGTTCCCACACCAGTTGGTCCGTTGTTGCCATTGGATCTTCGAAAAGCCGCCAGGAGTGGCTTACCGACACCTTGTCCCAGATCCGCACTCAGACTCCTCAGCTCTTGGCCTGCATCGCTCAGACCTCCCTTGATGTGGAAGGCGAGAGTAGCTCCTCTTGGCCAGCCCTCTTATCTTTTCTCAGCCCAAAAGAAAACGATCGACCGGATTTCTTGGTGAATCGGGTCATCGAAGTGAGAAAACCCGAGTCAGAGGTGCCCAAAGGCCGGCGAAAGTCTCCAAAGTCGTGACGTTGATCCATTGGCCCGGTGACCATTTGCGGCTTGAGGTTCCCCCAAGCTTCCCTCAAGGGTTGAACTTTCTGCGATTGTACGGAGATCAGGTGTCAAAGACCATTTGCTCATTCAAACTTTGTGTGGGGCGGTCTTGACCAGAATCCTTTTTGAGGGTCCCCCGGCCCTTTTGCAGATGTTTGGAGTTACACCCAAGTCTAACTTGTGCTTGTACGCATCTCGTTGCAGGCACTTGGCAGGAGAGTCTTTTCCAAGCAATCCACTTTGTCAACCTGTTCTGCTTGCACAAAGATATGGCAAAGATATGGATCCGCTTATCGCTTGCATGGGACAAATGAAAAAGAAGCCTGCAACACATTCATTTCAGCACACAACAATAACATGAGCGAATCGTAGTTTGACAAGCACCAACGAGCAATTCAAGCTGCAGGAACTTGTGTTCATGATCACATGTTTCAAGAGGTGCATAGACATGGTGCAACATCTTCATTCCGATGCATCAGCTCGTTTCGAAAGGTCATCTAGGAGTTGTGGAGCGATTCGTACGAGACTTTCAAGCTCAGGGTTTTCCCATTCATCCCCTGTCCGAACCGACACTTTGTTCAGCAAGACAGCCAGCTGCAAACACTTTCGGTATAGTTAATATATATTATGCAGTATATATCTATCATACATGTGATCATACACATTCGCATGCATATATATATATATAGACATATATATATATATATATGTATGCTCCCCCCCCTCCCCCGCAAATGTCTACCATTTTATTGGTTTCAATGGTTTGTGTGGTGTTTTGTGCCTTTTTTGGTGCTTTGGGGAAAGCAGCGGAAAACGGGTGCCTTATTCACATCTATAGGATGTGCCACTGTGATTTTTTTTTGGAGGTCAATTAGAACATTGAAAACAACACTCAGTCCTAGAGAAAGAGACCCCATTAAAATCTTAATTGAAATAAGACTTCCAACTACACATTGTTTAAATGAACGCATATTTACATGTTCGTTAAATAGAAACTCTACTAGCGCTATGTCCATATGAAACTCTATTTAAATTATATTCAATCAATACACGCTCGCATATCTAATGTCAAATAAGACACTTATTTATAAACATTATTTGAAGATTAAAACCAGTTTAGATTCCATTTAGACCAGAAATCCTACTAGGAGTATGTCCTTATTAAATTCCACTTCAGTTCTAATATAAAATTGAAAAGCACATACTAGAAAACAGAGAGCCCTCCCTTTAGAATCTAAATTGAAAACTAATGCCAATTAAAAACCTTCTGCTAAAACACGACTGTTTAAATGATCGTTAAACCTACACACTCTTCTAGAATTATGTTCTTATTAACTTCCAGTTAATATCTTATCAACAATCAAACATGGAAAACGGTTCTCAAATAAGTTAGATGTTTAATTACTAATATTCTTTGAAATGGACACTAATTTAGACTATCTTTAAACTAGAATTCCAATATGATGATGTCCTTGCTAATTCAAAAGAAGAATCTAAGTTGAAATAAACAGTCCAATTGAAGAGTCTTTGAAAAGGCGATCCTATTTAAATTACATTTTCAGGATTCACGGGTATTTGCGGTGTGTTCTGCTCTGTTTGGGCTCTGGGGAAAGCAGTTATTGTAAACGCTTCGCGTTGCCCGCCTCGGCCCAGCCTAGTTTGAGGGAAGGGTCAGGAACACCGAAATCCAGTGTTGGGAAGGTCCGAATCGTACTGAAAGCTTGTGACCGCACCAGTTCGCCCGTGCTAGTTCGATGTTCGGAAGCCGTCCTGCTCGGAAGGTTTGAAATCCAAAACCAAGACTATCTCAGCTGCTCAGTGCCCTTGGAAAAAAAAGGACCTCTTTCTGGGGATGAGCATTTTTAGTGGGGCTTGGCCTCCATAAAAAGGGGAACAATAATTGGTGTCACTGAACAACCAAGACCAACTTTGGGTGTTTGGGCACCTCCATTTCACGTGGCTGGCGGCTTGCCATGACATACATTTCTTGCTCGGTTGCTCAGCCCAAGACAGGTACATGGTGGGAATACAAACCTCCATTTGCTTAAGTACCCCGGAAAAATATCCCCAATAGACACGCCAGCAGGCGGGCTGAGGGACTGGGCCTGAGGCTAGTGTCAGGCTGGCATACCTTGAGACGCCTGGGGGCTTGGGGCACGTCAGACAGGCTTGGTAGCTGGCGTAGCTTGAGACCAGTCTCAGACACGTGAGACTGGTCGTTGGACGTTAGACAAACCTGACCTTGGCACGCTGGGCTGAGCCTGCTGGTGGGCTGGGAGCTGGGGGCCGGCCAAGTGGCTATGCCCTCAGATGCGCCGGGGCCTCGGCTGGGCAGGCTGGGCTGAGGTGGGTTGCTGGTTGGGCTGGGCCTGAAGCTAGTCTCAGCCACGAGATGGGTGGGTTGCTGGCTGCCAGGCAGCCGGACTACGCTGCTGGTTGCGCCTGGAACTTGGGCTGGGCGGTTGCTGGATTGGCAATGGGGCCAGACGCGAGCAGGAGGTCAAGGCCTGGCCAGCCTGGGCTGAGCTGCTTGGGCAGCCGGACTGAGGGGCTGGGGCACGTCAGACAGGCTTAGTAGCTGGCATAGCACGTGACCGGCTGAGCCTGCCGGTGGGCTGGGAGCTGGGGGCCGGCCTAGTGGCTGGCATGCCTGAGATGCGCCGGCCTGGGCTGGGCAGGGTGGGTTGCTGGCTGCCGGGCAGCCGGACTACGCTGGGCTGAGCTGTGCTTGGGCGGGTTGCTGGATGGGCAAGGCCTGTTTCATACACACTTGGGCCTGAGGCTGGGTGGCGAGTTGCTGGCTGGGCTGGGCCTGAGGCCAGTCGCAGACACGTAAGACACGCCAGCAGGCTAGTCTCAAAACCAGTGTCAGACTGCGCCGAAGGGGGGATGACTTGGGTAGACGCGAGCAGGTCGGCCTGGGCTGAGCTGCTTAGCCGGACTGAGGGGCTGGGGCACGTCAGACAGGCTTAGTAGCTGGCGTAGCTTGAGACCAGTCTCAGACACGTGAGACTGGTCGTTGGCCTGAGGCCAGTCTCAGACACGTTAGACAAACCGACCTTGGGCGGAGCCGCGGCCCGGCCTTGGGCTGGGCCTGAGCCTAGTCTCAGACACGTCAGACAGGCCTGGCCAGCAGGAGGTCATGCTTTTCAGGACAAAAAGCATTTTTTAGCAGCACATTTTCGACAAAAATGGACCCATGGAGCTGGACGCCGACGAACCCCGAAAATTTCAAGGCCCGCCGGACAGGATTTTGAGCCAGCCGACATGGGTGGGGGGGGGGGGGGGGCGGCCGCAAAATTTTGGTTGGGGAGGGGGTTGGGGGAGGGGAAAAGCAAAGATTCTCTTTGGAGAAGAGATCTGAGCGCCCTTGGCCCCTTTGGGGCCGAGGCGAATTTCCAAAGACATCTGGAAGCTTCAGGCTCCAAACTTTTTCCACATGAATCCCGGCCCGAATGAAATTTCAGTCGGCTTGGATCTACCTCTGTCCTATTTCTAAGCTGCGATTTGGCCAGAAGATACAAAAAGAGGGGTCAGGCCCCAAACCGTTTGAACCCGTGAAACAGTCAAGACCCTTTCTCGGAGGAAAGGTGCCCCGCAAGGGTCAGGGGCCCAAACCGATTGAACTGTTTAAACGCTTTCTCAGAGGAAAGACCCCCCCCCAAGTCGCAACACCGTTTAAACCCTTTCTCAAAAGAAAGTCCCCCGGCCCCCACCCAAGGGTCAGAGGGTCAGGGCCCCACCAGGGTTCTACCTGAGAGAGGGTTCAAACGGTTCAAATGGTTTAAACGGTTTTGGGGCCAGACCTTTCCTCTGAGAGACGGGTCAATCGGTTTAAACGGTTGTGGGCCCAAACCTTTCCTCTCAGCAAGGGTTTAAACGGTTTTGGGGCCTGACCTTTCCTCTGAGAGTTCAAACGGTTTAAATGGTTGAGTTGGGGAGTTGTTTTCCTTTGTTGCAGAGTCAGATGTAGTGGGCAGAAAACACGAAGACAGAAAAAGGTCAACGTTTGGGGGGGGGGACACACATATATATATATAATATAATGTATATATATATATGTATCACACATATATATACATATATATATATATACATATATATATATGTATATCACATATATATATATAGAGAGATATGTATATGTATATGCTATCCCCCCAAAAAAAAACCTAGGACTTTTGAGTGGATTTGTGCCAGCAAGGGTTGCCACACAAGGTTCATTCTGATAGCGGGCCAGGTTTCGTCACTCTTCAACTGGATTTGCGCCAGAGTGGATTGAGGAAGTGTCATTTTAGTTGATTGAACAGCCCCGGCTGAACAGAAGTGAAGACAGACCGTGCCCTGATAGATGACTTACAACATGGAGGCACCACAGGGCTTTGTTTTCTGCCATCTGGTTTCATCACTCTTCAAATGGATTTGTGCCAGAGTGGATTGAGGAAGTGTCATTTTAGTTGATTGAACAGATGAGGCTGAACAGAAGTGAAGACAGACAGTGCCCTGATAGATGACGAAGAGATGAGGAATGAAGCGGTGGTGAGTGACCTTTCACCCAACCACCATTCTATTCTGTAGGTGAAAGACCTTGAGATTGCAGTAAAGGAAAAGAGATGGAAAGAGATGAATGCTGGTGAGATTTCTTTGTCACCATCTGGTCATTACATTTGGTGTCTCTCTAAGACTCCTCCAAATGTAACCCAAATAGTCTTAAGATGTCTTTATTAATAGCCGCTGTGTCTTTTCTATCTCTTGGACACAGCTATTTTCATATTGTATTATTTCCCTTTCATTTGTATTCCTGAGATTCCATAAGATACGAAAGGTAGATAATAATAGAAAAGAAAGGGAGATGATGATGGGTGACGAAGGAGCAGGAAAGTGAGTGAGGAGACAGTGAGATGACGCGGGGATGAAATGGTGGGTGGAAAGATGTCCACCATTCTAGTCCTTTCGGTAGTTCCTAGAGACACAAATAGAAAATATCAATGTATACAAATAATTTGATAAAGAGATAGAAATATAAAAATATGAAGATTAAATAGAAAAGCAGCTAATAAGTACTAGATCTTAAGATGAGACGGTGAGGGATAAAGAAGTCTCATCATAAATCCATTCTATTTCTCTACCTCTTTCTCACATCACATCCCTTTCACCTCTGCATCTAGGATGTGATTAAGAGGTGAGGAAGCCAATGATTTCCATGATGAAGGAAGAGGAAATCATTGTGGATGAAGAGGAGAGAAATATAAGATAGTAAAATATATTTGTAAATGCTATTAATCTAGAGATTTTTATTTGGCTCCAAGCCTTTCTATTCCTCATCCAATTTCTAATGCTGGATGAGGTCATATCCCCCTTTATCACGCCATTCCTTCCTTCTGTACCTCTCCTAACCATCTGGATGATGAAGGGAAAAGACATGGAAGAGAAGCCAAATGATGAATCCAGGCTGTTTCCTTTCTCCTCTCCAGCCTGTCAATCACCGGCCACACGAAGGAATGGGCCGGGTGAGTGGGTTTGTAGGTGACATCTCTTCATTTGTCACCTAATATTAGAATATTGGATTTTATTAATAAGAATCCATTAAAATTCTCTTCATCAAGGATTTTACAGATAAATCCAAGATGCAGGTAAAGAGAAAGCAATTAAGAGACAGATGAATGGGATCTCTTTCGCCCATTCTTGTCTTCTCTTTATTTTACTATCTTATATTTCTCTCCTCTTCATCCAGAATGATTTCCAAGATGAAGGAAGAGGAAACCATTTGTGTCTTTTCAACAGACTCTTGTCTGCAGATGTACCTGATGCCCTTTTGTTTAGCAGATATTTTCATGCGGTGAACTCAGCGCGCTGGGAAATTCTGCATAACATGTTGCACAAATATTGCACAAATGCACGTGTTTCCATTTATGCAGTGAGCACACAACTTCAAACACATGCATCTTGGCAGCACCAAATGCATGTCTTTGTAGACACTAGAGCATGCACCCTGGACACATGATGACTTTATATTTGGTAGTAAAAGTGAACAAAGACAAAGTAACAGAAACAAAGCAACGTGAAACAGTAAATAGTAAACAAGTAAAATATCCGGACCCATGAAAAGCAAAAAAGAAGAAAAACAGAAAGTAAAAAAGGTAAAAATGTAAAATATCTGGACTCATGAAAAGTAAAAAGTAAAACCGCCAAAAGTGAAAAAGAGACTAGGGTTTTTACTTTTATTGTGAAAAGGTAAACAAACTCAATCTTTTTTACGGTTTCCCAATAAAAGTAAAAAAGCACTAGTCTTCTTTACTTTTTCCCAAAAAAGAAAAAAGGCCCTGTTTTTTTAACTTTTCGCAATAAACGTAAAAAAAACGCAGTATTTTTTCTTTTGGCTGTTTTACACTTTTTCTTTTCATGAGTCCATGTTTTTACTTTTTTCTTTGTTTGGTTTTACTTTTTACTTTAAAAAACTTTACACTTGTTTTTACTTTTCATGGGTCCAGATATTTTACTTTTTTACTTGTTTACTGTTTTATTGTTTTGCTTTGCTTGGTTTCTGTTCCTTTGTATTTGTTCATTTTTACTACCAAAATAGAAAATCATCATTTTTCCAGTGTTTGTTCTAGTTTCTACAGAAACATGCATTTGGTGCAGGTAAAATGCATGTTTCTGGAGTTGTGCTCACTGCATACATGGAAACACGTTTCATTTTGGAAGGGTTTTTACAATTTGATATGCATAATTTACCAGTGTGCTGACCTCCCCCCCACAAAACCTAGGTTGGGGGTACCATTATATATATATCACATACATATATATATATATACATACACCTATTACAAAGAGTTGTTGGACCAGCCACTTCACTTTTAGTCAGCTGTGTTGCGTGGCTTCATCCTAATAAACTCCACACCTGGAATCGAGTGTCGATTCGCTCAGGAACGCCATCAGAACATAGCGGGCAGAAGGTGCAGTGGAATTCCCCATTTGAGGTTCGGTCAAAGTATACGGACAATTTGTGGTCACGAAACTTCCCGCAAGAACCAGGGGTGACCCGGGGCTTTGAGGCTTGGGTTCTGACTAACTCAGAGCAAAGGCGCCTCCCTCACAAACAGCTCGGCTAATCAGTACGTGTATAGGAAAATGGGAGGCGTGCAGGATACACAAGTGCTCCTGCAATCTCCTGCACGACAGAAAGAAGCCCTCAAAAAATCATCCGGCTTGTGGGCAATCAATCGCCTTCTTTGGGATTCGTGTATGGCAGGCCGTATGCAACTTTCGCATGGACCAATATGCTCCAAATCCACAGGCTACGAGTCGGCCCACGTTTTTGGTTGGTTTCCGTTGATTTAGACCCACCGCCCACCGCGCACAGACCGGCATAGCGGCAGGCCTTTGCAGGGCCTACTTGGCGCGGGCGCAGGAGAAGGGCTTCCAGATCATTCCAGGAGCGCTTCGCTGACCCGCGGTTGATTTTTTTTGCTTCGAGTGAACCACTTGGGTGGAGAAATTCGGGGGAGGATTTCTTCAGATTGTATATTGGTGTCCCGAAAGCACTTGCAACAACACACCTGTCCGTCCGTAGGTTGATTCTGGCCTTCACCAATCTCAAGGGTTGTCTTAGCTTGGCTGCGTTTTGGCTGGATCTTTGGACCTTAAGTGTTTCCCGGGATTGAGCCATCCAACGGGTTTCCTTCCAGGTCTCTGGAGCGCAAAACCGTGTGGTGCGAAGGTGCCCTGGGTTTTGAATCTGGAAAGGGGAAATTGGGGGCTGGTCAACTTGGCCCCTTTTTGGGCCATGGGTTTCTGCGGGGCCCGCCTTAAGGGGGTCCAAAAAGGGGTCCGTATTTTTTACAGCCAATTGAGTTACCAGAGAACCCAACGTGGCACTGTCATTGGGGACACGCCTTCATCTTTCGCCCCATGGAACGGGTTTGTTTTGTCTCGAGAAAGGAGCAAACGGGAAGAACGCAACAATCAAGGATGACCCCTCATTGTGTGCCAGACTTCTATCAGACCTTCTGCTGCGTGTTGTTTTTTGTTGAGTTTCTGCAAGGAGGCTCTTGACAACTGCTGCCACTGATTGGGAGTCTCACTGCGTCGTTCTAGAGGGTAGTGGCCCCATGGCCCACTCGTGGCCTTAGTTTCGGGAACCCCATTTAATCGCACCGACAAACCATGTGTCAATATTCACCTGGTTTGCCGGAGTGCAGTGGGGCCTATAGAAACCTTTCCGTAACCATGTTAATAGAACGAATGGTCGATCGCCTTCGGCCCCCAGCTGTATGAGCTATCCACGAAGGTCCGTGTAGCCGCGGCTCATGATTGTCAACTAGAACGTGAAAACAAGGAAGTTTCAAAGGAATCAGGGGCTAAACTCACACACACACACACATTCGCACACATCCTGCCCTTGGAGTTTACTGTGGCTTCAAAGTGCCGCGCAACCGCCGCAACCACGTTCTAACTATTTAGGCCCTTGTAATTCTACCCGTATAGATTCGCCTTGTTGTGGTTCACACGCCGCTGGCTTTGGTAGGACCATTTTCAGTTGCCGATAACGACGACATTGTGGCGGCGCTCGCCTACCTGGCACGGCTCAAGCCGCTTTGTCAGACTGGCCTGTTCCAAAGGAAACGAGGTTCTATTACAGGACTTGATGGTTTCCAGCCACCCTGTTCCATGTTTTTTTTGTTGTTTTTAGTTGGCTTAGTGGTTGGCCCACTGAAGATGTTTTGTTGGCAGTTCTGAGGACAGCCCAGAGTATATAACACTTTGGCGAAAGGAGCTTTAGGGGCATGCAGTTTGGGGTGCTGGTGCAGGTGCTTTTTGAGGTGGTCACATTGGGGAGGCATCTTTGTGGGATTAACGGCTGGGTGCCAGGGTGGTGCAGGTGCTGTTTGAGGTGCTGGTGACGGTGTGGACGCATTTTGCGAGACCGACGGCCGGGTGCTGGAGGGCCTGCAGTTTGGGGTGCGCGACAGTGTGGGCGCAAGAGATTGGCGCCCGTTGCTATGAGATCATGGGATCATGCAGTTTGGGGTGGTGGTGCAGGTGTTGAGGTGCTGGTGGCGGTGTTGGCGGTTTTCCTTTCTCGTACATGTTGCCGTGTGGGCAGCGTCAAGGTCAAAGGCAATGAACGCCGGAGTCTGGGTTGGGTTTTTGAACCCCAGATTAGTCTGGTCCGAGCCTGCTTGGCCAAGAGCACTAGGATACGAAACTAAAAACAAATTCGGGATAGCCCACACTTCATGGTTTTGAACCTTTGGACGATCAAAAGGAAATCGAGTTGGCACGCAGAAAGTATTGGCAATAGTTTTGGCAACTCGAAATGGGACAAGCAGGGACGTCTTTAGATATACAAGGGCGTTCTGGAGAGTGTGAAAACCAGATACAGCAGGGGGGTGGTATTTTGTTAAGCCTTGCGGGTTTCTTCAAAGTTGTGTTGGTTGGCAGTTGGCTGGAAAAAGGTGCGTGTCTTACTTGTTGATAATCATGTGCCAGCGGCGGGAGATGTTCCCACATCCTCATATTATATACATATGTATGTATTCATGTGCTCCTCGTGTTGTATAGAGATATACACACATATTCTTCCCCATAGATGTTGTTCCTTGGCCAAACACAGGTCCGTGCTTTCTTAGGCGAAAACCGGAGGTTGTGATTTTGTGCCTGGACCTGGTCGAGCTGGCCCGGTTTGTCTATGGGATGCCTGCGGTCGAGGCCGAAAGATGCTCACTGAGTAAGATATTTTTTTGCAGGGGGCGGATCCAGAGAAAAAGGGATGGCTGAGTCGTGGCAATGGTGCTTTCATGAAACTGCAATGTTTGCAATTGAACCCAACCTAGGTAGGCCGTACGTAATTCGGGGTCTTTCCAACGTTCAGGTTTCGTTGTGAAAGAAAACAAATTGCTTGCATCGCAACTGCACAAGCTTGTTGGGGGGTAGAAGGAGCTCACCCATGTCTAGTCCTGGAACTTCATGGGATTGTCGTTTTGCGTTGTCAAATCTAGATATAAACCGGAATCTCAGCCGTATTTGTAGTTTGGTGCAAAAGCTGCGCTGGAATCAGGGGTCAAGTTGGGAATTAGTTTCGGAGATTCCGCTTTGTATGGTCCGGAATCCAAAGTTTGCATTGTCCTCAAACTAGGAAGTTCTGCTGCACAGATGGGGTAGGTGCCGTGGGCCGACCTGCAGAGTCCGTTTTCGCAAAAGGCCACCAGACGGGAGGCTGTTGCAGCATGGGCAGATCAAGTGGAGGGGGGAGGTCAGCATTGCCGAATCCCAAAGTAAAGAGTCCCTCTCTACGCCCTTCATGTTGACCCCGTATGAATCAACCCCTGTTCCCGTCCAAAAGTGATGACTAACCCCAGAGACACCCCCCTATTAATGCACTGGGATTGATGAATATGGGGTCAACATTAAGCATAGAGGTTTCATCCTGGGTTCGGACAAATCTGCTGTCACGGCTCCCCTGGAACCCAGAAAAGTTCATTCTGCTCAACACTCGAGCATTGGTTTAAATGGCCCCGTTCCCACTAACATGAAACCAAGCAGCCGGTTGGCCCTCAACACCAAACCCCCAAAACAAAAGCACGCCCATGAGTCCGACGGCCATCAAGGGCCGTGGCCGGGGGGGTACCTACCCTTTTGGGGAGGTATCTCAAGATTCCTTTGACATGAAGACTCCTTCTTCACCCCAGACGGTTTTGTCATGGCGATTGTGCTAACAAAAATCACTGGTGTGTATCTTGTGAGGCTATCCTTTCGCTTGGCTCAACCGAGTTCCAGCAACACCAGAGCTCTAGTCCCATGCCTGTGGTTGAGATTCAACAATTGTGTTTCCATTGGTTTTTTCACAACATTCTCGGACCAAGTGCCCTCTTCCCCGGTTCATTTAATTTAGGCCAAGCAAAATCGATGTCCGCTCAGATGACCTTCAGCTGGGTGGTGAGCGCCTTTCCCCACGGCGACAAGTTGCAAGAGATTACGCAGGACTCCGCTCGCAGAGTTTAGGAGTTGAGGGGTCGTAGCACCGCAAAGGTTCCTTTCTCGGTGCCACCTGACGTGTTTACACCCTTGCTTTTGTGGGGGGAACCTGGTAATCTTGGCGGTGTTTTGGATCCAACTCGCCCCCAATCCCACTCTGCCAACTTCAAAGGCCTGACAGAGCTGTCACGAGACGCCTCCAGTCAGGTTCCAGGGAAGGAGACCATGTCTATTGCTGGGATGTGTTGTGGTTTGTGTTTCTTCTCAAGCACTTGATGGAGCAGAATTCACATCACCTTAAACTGTCGTAAACCCCAAATCCATCCCACCCCCCAACCTCAAAATCACATCAAACCCCACCCTAATGCTCACCCCAATACCCACCCACCCTAAACCTGCTACATTAAACCGACCCGAAACTCCGAAACTCACCCGAAATCAACCCTGCACCAAACCGCTAAGCCCTAAAACTGTAGCTCTACCAACTAAAAACCCATCCTACACCCATCAT